CTCTGCGTGACGTGCCTGGGACACTGCACAGAGGATGGTGGGAGGGTGGAGGTGGGACGGGGAGAGGACTGCCTGTCCTGAGGTCTGTCTTCCTAGAGTCCAGCTCTTCGCTGACGGTGATCATCGTGGCTGTGGTCACTGGGATTGCTGTCGCAGTGATTGTTGCTATCACAGCAGGCTTGATCTACCGCAGGCAAAAGAGGATTTCAGGTTTGTAGCTCCTCTTGGTCACTCTTCTTATCATTCACCACTAGATCAAGGCCCTAGTCTCGGACATTGCCAGAATCCCTATCTTTGTACAAGACAAGCATTTGGATAGAGACCCACTTGTCGTACATTCATTCACTTACTAGTTCACTTATTCAGTAAGACTTGAACAAAGTTGTTTCTGTGTCTGGCAATGACACTGGGTGGCATCAAGATGAGGAAGTCCTGATGGGGAGTTCTCAGCGCTATGGGGAAGACAAAAGTTCACATAGATCATAAGATCTGATAAGAGCAAGATCGGGAAATGGAAAGGCTGCGCTGGGGGTTCAGAAGAGGCTCCACAGCCTGGCACAGACTGGGGCAGTTGGAGAATGTTTCACGGGGCCGTGCTGTAGTGTAGTGATGGGAGCACACCTGGTGTGGCCAGCCTGCCTGGATTCAAGTCTCAGCTTCACAGCTCACCAGCCATGTGGCCTTGGTGAGTTACTCACAAAGAGGTGGAAAATGGGGGCTCTACTAGGATCCACTTCACAGGATTGTTGTGAAAATGAGTGAGATTGAAGCTCTTACACCAGCGCCCAGCAGAGAGTAACGGCACATAAGTATGAATTGCTATACTGTGGGGGAGGTGATGTGTGAGGGTAGCTGTTAGCTGGGCAAGAGGTCACTCCAGGTACAGACCAAGGCATAGAATGAGGATGGTTGTAACTTGGAGGGAGGTTGAGAAAGAAGTAAGAAGATGTGTAAGTCACTGAGAAAGAGAAAATAATGCTACTAATACCTCACAAAGCACTTTGCAATTGGTTCATAGCAAGTATCTCAGTCACTGGTAATAAATAAATGTATAGACAGAGATGAGAAAGAGGTATGTTTTTATAAGACAGAGCAAGCTTAAGACAGATGCAATGGAGTGACCTTTCCAACACTCCTAGGAGTCCCATTAGTGAGCTGAATTATGTCTATCTGAACCATCCTTCTCTAGGCTGGAGCAGTCCCTGAGCTGGAGAGCTGGGAGTGAGAAGAGAGAAAGCATTTATGAGAGGGTGGGTCTGTGTGGTCCTAACCCAGACCTAACCCTGCTCCTTTGTTCTGAAGACTCATGCTCCACCTCCTAATCCTACTAACCTCCCATGTGCCCCTCCTACCTCTCTCAGGAAACCCTGAGCACAGGGAAATGGGAGAGACCCTCCCTGGGGAGCCAGGTGAGTACAGCATTCCCTCTGGGGATTCAGTGATGCCCCACCCAAGGCTGCCAGATGGATTGGAACCAGCAACAAGTGGCTTGTGTGAGTTCAGCTGGGAGCCAGGAGAGGGAGAGGAGAGCAGAGGGAAGGCAGGGGCTCAAATCGCTTGGTCAGTTCTGAGTCTAACTCCTGGACCGGAAGAGGAACTCGCTGGAGATGAGGAGAGAAATGTTGGCCCCAGATCGAGAGGGGAGGGTGTGTTTGAATTTCTGGGACCAGCAAACTGGGGAGCCTAGGAGGAATCAGAAATATTTGGGTCATTCTGTGGGGTTTTGGTTGAGTTGGCAAAGGATAGGGACTTGGACTTGTAAGACTGGGGCCAATAGATTTAGGAAGAGGAGTCCAAGGGGAAGGAGAAGGAGGCCTAGGAACAACACCCTAGATTTGCTGGGAAATCTGTTTCTGTGGAGTGATGGGGTGAGGGTGGTGGGGATCAGCTCTCTGTGGAACATTAAGAGGAGAGTTGGGCTTTAGGAGATTCTGGGGGACTAGGTGCACTAAGTGGGCTTTACTCTGTGGGCAAAGCTTGGTCTGATGCCAAACCAAGTACAGGTTTATTGAATTTTGGCCTATTCTGCCACCATCACACAATGGAGCCTCATGGTTCCCTCATGGGGTTTAGTCACCTCACTGAGGAAGTAAGTGGATGGCCATGATGACTTCTAAGCCCTCCTAGGTGTGATGTTCTGAGATCCAGTGACCCTCCTCTCCCCAGGTGGGAGTGTGTAAAAGGCACAGGAGGATTCTGGGAAACTTCCTGACTGTGGTTAAAGTTAGAGCACAAAAGAACTAGAACTTTCTCTAGGGTCTTCCATGATAGTAGACACAGCCAGGAAAGAGAGATACTAAGAGACTGCACTTCAGGTGGCTGGAGTATGACTCAGAGCAGAGCCAACAGGTTTGAGAGCTTGAGCAAAATATCACTCACCCAGCTGCGCTTTGAGCAAGGTCCGCGTGTGCATTGAGCAGGCCCAGTACGGATATGGGTCTGGGGCCACACCAGAGCCAACCAGATCTGAAAAAGTCCAAACACAACTGAATTAGCCACTTTGATGTGTGGTTCTGTCTACACCGGCATAAATGCTTTTATGCAGCTCGGCACTGGGTCTGATGCTTTCCCAAAAGGCTAGGTTGCTGGGATTGTTGAAGAATATGTGAAAAGAGGAATTCAAAACACGGTTTGCTGCAGAATTGGGGACATTGCAAATAAAGACTCTGCATGTCCAGGGGATGAGTGCAGAGACTGGATGCATTGTCTCAGACTCTACCCCAACTTCCTAGGAAATGCTGCTTTGCAGAAACTGAGGCTGCTTTTCGCACTGGCAAAGTGAAGTTACGGCAGAAACATGAGGGAATTCGGTGTGTTTTGGACATTAACCAGAGGCCTTCCTTCTTCTTTCTCTCTTTCCTTCTTTCTTTTTTCTCTCTCTCCCTCCTCCCCTCTGTCTTTCCCTCCCTTCCTCCCTCCTCCACTCACTCCCTTCCTTCTTTACTTCCTTTCTGTCTCTTCTCTCTCACTCTTACTCTCTTTAGAGTGCCAGTTTCTTCAAAGTTCCTATAAAGATGTACTACATTTGGACAATGTGGAAGTGATCCTCAGTCCTCTCTCCTTGAATTCTGTGGCCAGCAAATACCTGGACTTTACTCCACTCTGAGACTGAATACCCCTCACCTCTTCCCCCATATCTCAGATCCCCAAAGCTGCCTGGTTTGCTTCTAGAGAAGCTCAGCAATTCCCTGAAAAGAATGCAGCACAAATGACTGCTTTCCTATGGCCAGTGGGAAAGGCTGTGTCTGGGATACTCCAAGCGTGGATAAATGTAGCCATATTTACCCAGTGCTTGGCCAACAGGCCCAAGATGGGGTCAGCAGTGCTTGCTTTGGGTCTATTTTGGGCTTTGGTTTTGTAGCCACAGCCTCAGCATCAGCACACTTCAGTCTTCTTCTCCAGCAGGACCTCAGCTGATGTTTTTTCTTTTTGCCCACAGTCAATCCTACTGATCCTGAGGAGGCTGCCAAAGTTGAGGTGAGTGGTCCCAACCATCCCCTCCCTCCTTCCCTGCTGCCTCTTTTTTTGTCTTTTTTTCTGTGCCCTCTCTGTGGATCCCCACTGCTCATTTCTGCTCTCTCTAGGCTGAGAACACAATCACCTATTCACTTCTCATGCACCCAGAAGCTCATGAGGAAGAAACAGGGCCTGATTACCAGAACCACATTTAGTCTCCATTGTCTTACCCTGGGATTTGGCAAGAAAATCAGAGAGGCGAGGATCTAGTATCTCCTGGCTCAAATTCCCCTTGGGAAGGAAAAGGGAATGCTGCAGTTTCAAAGAAGAAGGACTCTTCCAGAGTCATCTATGTGAGTCCTGAAGCTCCTTGTCCTGAAAGCCACAGACAATATAGGCCCAGATGATTGACTGCACCGTCTGTGCCTGGGCACTTCTCAATATCAAGACACTTCTGTTACACATACACATAGCCAATAAAATCAATACTATTAATACAATTACTATAATTACAAGATTATATTACAGGTTATATGTAACATATATGTACATGACACTCATTATGTATGTCTATATGATTTCAGAAATGTTAAAGTAGACTAACCTATAGCAACATGTGGAAAGTGATTTTTTTTCAGGGTGGTGAAATTACTGATGGTTTATATTTTCTTTCTTTATTTTTCTATAAAGATCATGTATTACTTTTATAATAAAATATTTTAAGAGCAACATTCTGTTTATCTTTTCAAGGCTATATGGGTTGGAGTGCAGACTGAACTATCAGGAACTGTCAGTGATAAGAATCTTGGGAAGGTGGTAATGGATAGGATGTGTGGGAGGAGAGATGGGACCTTGGGGTATAGGGTGAGTGCCTCTTTCTCAAGCGTCACATAATGATATTTAGTTCAATAACAGCTGCATAGACGGCAGTGGTCCTATAAGGTTATAATATCGCATTTTTATATCGCATTTTTACTGTACCTTTTCTATGTTTAAATACATTTGAATACACAAATATCACTGTATTACAATTGCCTGCAGTTTTTGGTATAGTAACATACTGTATAGACTTGTAGCCCATAAGCAATAGGCCATAACATACAGCTTAGGTGTATGAGGTGAGTGGCAGCAGGCTATACTATCTAGGTACGTTAAGCACACTCTCTGATGTTCATGCAATGACAAAATCATCTAATGGCACATTTCTCAAAATGTATCTCCATCATTAAGCAATTTATGACTGTACTCTTCTTCCAGTGAACTTGCATTTTTGTTTCCATATCTTTCATTCTTTCCTTCTATGGTAAATAAAACACTGTTTTGCAACACAAGTTTTCAGGATGTCAGAGTCCAGATGAGCCCTCAGTGAGCTTGCTGATTTCCTGCTCTGCTATTCTCCCAGTGTAGTTACCAGAGGGTGTGACCTTCTCAGAGAAGTCATTCCAGGCAGGTTAGAAACATGACTGATATTCTTCTTGAGGGCATAGGGAGGGCCCTTGATGACTCTAACACAGTGTCATTATGCAATATTCTTCTTGCATTCAGGATTTAGCAGTTTCCTTTGTTGTGTGGTTTCCAAAGATTTCTATAATACTGACTTTTTGTGGTCCCACAATCAGAGTTTTTACATATATACTATTGTAGTAATAAGGAATGGTAATTGAAATTACTGGGTTACTGAGGACTTACGTTATGCCAAACTGTGTGCTTTAGAATTTAGAGAGTCCAAGATTACTAGCCATTCATATTTTTTCTTTTGTGATTTTCATGTACATTTATTCTTTGCCTATTTTCATCATTATAATGTAGCTAGTGGAGTACCTTATATGTCTGTTTATTTATAAATTATACAATAGTAACTTATTTCCTTTTGCTTACATGTAAATAACTTCACTCCATTAATAATATATTCTTCTTATAAAATTAAAATACAGATAAGCAAAAAAATTTAAATCATTCATAAATCCACAAACCAGAAATAATTAATGCTGACATTGAAATATATCAATGGCAATATGTATATGTATTTTAAAACTAGATGACATTATATATTTTACATGTTCATAAATACACTCAGACAAAAATTCATGCTCATTATAAGTTCGTAAACTCAAATAATCTGGAAATATAAAGAAATATAAGGAGTAAAAAGTAGAAGTTTCCTTTTGTCCTTACTCCCCTCTGTATTATTTCTCTTCCTTCTTTCTTTTCTTCCCTCCTTCTCTCCTTCCCCCCTCTTTTCTTTCTTTCCTTCCTTCCATTTTCTTTCCTTCTTTCTTTCTCTCCTTCCTTCCTTCTTTCTTCCCTCCCTCATTCCCTCCTTCCCTCCCTCCTTCCTTCCTTCCCTTCTTCCTTTCTTCCTTCTTTCAAAGGGTTGTAGCCCAGGCTAGAGTACAGTGGCATGATCATAGCTCATCGCAGCTTCAGCTCCTAGGCTCAAGCGGTCCTCCTACCTCAGCCTCCTCAGTAGGCTACATGTGCGTGCCCTCAGGCCTGACTAATTTAAAAAAAAATATTTTTAGAGTTGGGGGAGGTCTTGCTATGTTGCTCAGGCTGGTTTCGATCAATTCTCCTGCCTCAGCCTCCCAAAGTGCTGAGATTACAGGTGTGAGACACCATACCCAGCTTTAATGTGTTAAAGTCTAAATCTTGACTGATGATCCCCAGAGTCAGTTTCTTTACTGATAGTTTTTCAGTGAGCCTAACCAGTTAGTCTGGCTTGATTACTTAGCCAGAGAGGCATAAAACCCCGCTGGGTACTTCTTTGAGCTCTCCCATGCCAAGATTCCTAGCATAGATCTCCGTGGTTCAATCCAGATAAAAAAAAGTACAAATAGGGTACAGTGAGAATAAGGCAGCTGGGAGCTTGTATTTGAAACCTCTTGGATCCCCACTGCTTGCTTGTACTCTCTCTCGGTGTATCTTCAAATAAAAGCCTTCTGTGAGTATGATCTGTGGAGTCCAGTGAGTTCTTTCACAGATCCTTTTCAGCAAGGTTCTCCCACTGCTATTCCTCTACTCTTGTTTCCTCCATGTTATTTGTCATTATATGTAATTATTTTATGTATTTTTAAAAAATATTTGCATATGTTCTAAAATATAAGCTCAATGCAGGCCAGGCATCTGTATTATTAATGGACGTATTCCAGGGACTAAAACAATGCAATAAATATTTGTTGAATGAATTAATGAATGAAACTTTTATAATTTCTGGGTAATTGACATGCTTAGGAAGGTTGTCTTAAGAGTTCAAAAGGTAATTATACATTTATTAGCTTTCCTTGAAATTTTCCTATAATTATTTAAAACTCTTAAATGCTTTAAAAATATTAGATCTTTAGTAAATCCGGAACTCATTTCTGGATTTGGTGGTAAAGTAAGGACTGAATGTAATTTTTTCCATATGAAAGTCAGTTGTCCTGATACTATTTATTGAATAGTTTAATGATTTGAAATTCTACCTTTATCACTCTAAATTCTTATTACAGGTCTATTTTTGGTCTCTCTTCTGTTACATTGTTCTATTTGTCTATTTCTGCATTGATATCACATCTTTCTTTATTGCAGCTTTATAGTGTACTTTGCTATACAGAAGGTCGAGTTTTCTCTCACTCTTTTAAGTTTTTCGTAGCTATTACTGTGCTGCTTGTCTTCCAAAAGGACACAAGAGTTCCACAATACTCTTAAGATATTGATCAAATTGCATTGCATTTGTACATTATTTGGGCAAGGTTTGGCATCTGTGTCTTATTGATAACTTCCCAAGTTATAGCTCTTCATTCATGTAGACTTAAAGAATTCTCCTATAATATCATATGAGCTTAGTACCTTTTTTTGTGATAGCTCTTTGATAAACTCTTTTTCTGTCATTTTTGGTTAGGATTCTCTGTCTCTTTTGAAGTCAATTTTGAGAACTTTTAATTTCCTAGGAAATCATTCATTTTACTGGTATGCTGCGGAACACTGTATTTTCTTATTTTTTTTGGTAATAATGTATGTGTTTATATTTACATTTCCCTGGCCCCCACACCCCACCAACTACTAGCTTTTGAGTTTTCTTTCTTTTATCAGTAGGATGACTTCAGCTGGAAATAACAGGAAATCATTATTCTAATTGACAGCAGTCTTCCCGTCATATTGTATTGGTCAGGACTGGGTCACATGTCCATTCCTAAATCCATCACCAGAAAGGAGACTGAGATTACTATAACTTACTTAGCATTAAGGAAATGTATTATCTCACATGACAAAAAATACAGAGACAGAGTGTCTCTAGAACATCAGGGCTCTGAGTTCACTTTTCTGAAATTCTGGGCACTACCTTTGGACTACCAGCAAGATGATTATACTTTTAAGCATCATAGCCTGATATCTAGAGAAATAAATGCACTGTTTTATGTCTTTTTCTCTTTTTTTGAGTTGGAGTCTCACTCTGTCACCCAGGCTGGAGTACAGTGGCACACTCAAGGCCACCACAGCCTCAACCTACTGGGCTCAGGTGATCCTTCCGCCTCAGGCTTCCAAGTAACTGGAACTACAGGCGCATGCCCTCATGCCCAGCTAATTTTTGGATTTATTGTAGAGACGAGGTCTCACCAATTTACCCAGGCTGGTCTTGAACCCCCGGGCTGAGTCAATCCTCTTGCCTCAGTCTCCAAAGTGCTGGAATTACAGGCATGAGCTACCATGCCAGCCTGAGTGTTGCTTTCAGTGTCATATGCACAACTCTGGAAGAGGTTCCAAGAGCAGGTCTGAACTTGAAACACTGTGATGAATATGGGTTGTCCTCTGCAAAATCTCACAACCCTGGACATCCCTTCCTGGACTGTGCTGTGACTGCCTCAGCATTATTTTGAGTGCTGACAGAGTTCTCAGTATGGCAAAGACAGGCTGCCTTGTCCAAGGTGTGGCATCTTTTTTTTTCTTTTAAGAGTAAGGAAAACTTTCTCAGAAACCCTACTGCAGTCTTCCCATCAGATTGGTCAGGACACAAGTCCAATCCTAAATCCTAAACTAGAAAGAAGACTGAGATTACCGTAACATACTTAGTTTAATAATTTTAAGGTGGAACGATTGTCGGAGTATCAACCACCTTGACTACCATGTGTGTCTGTTCACTCTAAATGGATTTGCAAAGGTTTGCCTATTTTATTAACCTTGTCATAACTCTTGTCTTCTGGATCAAGTACTTTGCCTTTTGTTTGTTTTCTAACATATTATCTCTTCCTTCTACTTTATTTCAATTTACTGTATTATTCATCAATTTCTAAAGTCTTGCTTT